TGTTAGCTTGTGGGTTGAAGCACGTTTTCTATCAGGTAACCCCGTATATAGTCAGTGTCAACCTCATAACAGGCGCTTGTTCGATAACTACAATATCACCATAACTTACACCGTTGGAACAAAGCTAGAAACATGTGGATTTTTTTCCCCAATACAGTAGGGTTAATTTTAGGCATTGTCATTTTCAGTACCTAAATTGGATAAATAGTACAAAGATGGTCAGAAAATTAAATGTATTTGTACTTTGGTAGCACAATTTTTACTATCCCTGCTTAAATACCTCTGCCAGAATTTTGAATCTGTTTCAATGTTCAATATTTGAACAACAATTTTTCTGTATTTTTCATAATTCTATGCCTATTTATGAACTGAAGAAATATCCCTGATAAACAAAATACAATTATAATTATTTAGTAGAATGTAATCTCTATCTTATTATGCTTAAGTATTTCGGATTTGACTAATTACTGTACAGACTTTGTAAAGCCAGATTCATGATTAAAAAAAAATTAAAAAAAAAAATCAGTGTGATTTATCAAGTGAATTCATTAATTTCCGATAAGTTATTATAGGAAGTATCCATTTAGAAGCAAGAATACATTTCTATAGTGATGGTCCAGTGGATCCTACTTTATTCTATGGAGTATATCAACATTTTCATTATGGATTAGAACTTCATCTCAAATCATTAAGAATCATTTTCAAAATTTATGATTTACGATTATCATGATTCTGATTTCTAGTTCCAACAAATTTATTTCAGACTTTTTAGGAGGAAAGTAAGGAAATCATAGTGAACACTTTTTCTTAGAAAAATCTTATAAGGTCTCAACTACAGTATTACGGGGTCATTAAACGCGGTTGTTGAAGGCACTTTCATTTTCTTTATTTTATTTATCCAAACCATAGAGAATTTACAGAACATGTTAAGTATCAGGAGCATATATTTAGAATGATTTTAGACAAGAGTTTTCTTTTCAAGTGTTTCTCTTTATTAATACATTATGTTGGCAACACCAATGCATGAGAAATGACCTAGACTGTCATGGCTATAAATATAGTTTTAAAAAAACCCCCAATAAACAACAGTTAACAATATAGTGTGTTCCTACTCTATTACCTGTAGTAGGTTTTTATTAATTTATAATGTAATAACAACCAAAACTACAATTAAAATAAATCCTGAAATTTTTAAAATAAAATTTTGAATTTCTCATTTTAAGATTTAATACAATAAAGTTTCCAAGATATTGTATGACATATGGCAAGTCGAATGGCCGAGCAGTTAAGGCAGGGGCGCCATGGTACTCACCTATGGTACTGGTGTTGGAACAAGTCTTCTAAGGTAAGAACTATAAACAGTAGGCCCAGTGTATCAGTGTATATCATTCTAGACAAGTGGGGATTACCCCAGTATACTGGTGCATACGGCCTCTGTTGTGGACAGACAGTTTACCAGGTAGCTCACACATGAACAGACCTTTGGGGGGGGGGG